TATAAACTAAGACAACCTTGATCCATACCTTACTTTCAGTGATCATGGTTGCAAAGTCTGGAATGAATCTGTTCCCAGAGCTATGGCAGCCGCAGTGTCCCCAGCCCTTGCTCCTTGTATCTGTCTCCCCGGCTAGCTAGCCATGTCCTTGCTGCCCAGTTTTGTGGCAGGTAACCTTTAAATCATCCTTTGCTCTTCCACCCCATTCCCTGAGGTCTTTGCCTGGCCTAGATCCATAATACTTGCAAAAGAAATTAGAGCAGACCTTGAGAATTTGAGGTGGGAGAGATGGAAAAGAAGACTCAGCTGCCTGAAGCAGTGGAAAGCTCTTATAGGGTTTTTCTCTTTTTTTGTTGGGTTTTTTTGTTGTTGTTTTCAGGGTGTTTTCCCAAGACATCTAACTAACTTGACTCATCATGCACCCACAGTCCCAAGAAAGCACAGGCACAGATGGTGAAAAGGAGCAGAACCCCCACTTTCAAAGGCTTCTCGCTACTAACTAGGCAAAGTGGCTTTGTCTTAGTCCCAAGAAAGCACAGGCACGGATGGTGAAAAGGAGCAGGACCCCCGCTTTCAAAGGCTCCTCGCTACTAACTAGGCAAAGTGGCTTTGTCTGAGTAATTCAGCTGAGCCAAGGACACTTCTCCAGCCCTGAGGGCACCAAGTTGGCTTGCATCCATACAGCTAAACTCCATTCAGCATGGCATCATCCAGCTCTGCCCTGGGACTCACCCTTCCTCCAGCTCTGGCTCAGACTAAAAGTTTCAGGTAAAGACATGAGAGTTGAGAAAATTGTGCTCCGTTACCCAGGAACATCACCATTTCTTTCAGACACATGGCTTGGGTTTTCCATCACCCTGACTTAGCACATGTCCAGAAGCCACCAAATGCTCTCGGACCTGCTATGTGAGCCAGATTGGCAAGACCATGGATTTACTGTGGATTTCTGTAGGCACCGGTGCTGCTGGTTATAACCACAACCTAATCCAGGCAGCCTGCTAACTGCTACAAAGCACCCAGGAACAGGCAGTCCGGGACTCATGAGGACACTCACAGCCACATGGATGAAACAATTTTCTTGGACTCTCTGGGTGGAGACCTCCTCCACTGTGTCTATCAGAGGATGCAGACCTGGTCTTTGCCACTGTCTCACCAAACACCTCAAGTCATAGAACCTTGTAGAATCACAGAATGTTTTGGGTTGGAAGGGATCTCAAAGATCATCTAGTTCCAACCCCCTGCTGCGGGCAGGGACACCCTCCACTAGACCACGTTGCCCAAAGCCCCATCCAACCTGGTCTTAAACACTTCCAGGGATGGGGCATCCACAACCTCTCTGGGCAACCTGTTCCAGTGCCTCACCACCCTCACAGGGAAGAATTTCTTCCTAACATCTAATCTAAATCGACCCTCCTTCAGCTTAAACCCTGTTCCCCCTTTTCCTGTCACTCCATGCCCTTGTAAACAGTCCCTCTCCAGCCTTCAAGTCATCTCACTGCATTTCCCTTTTGCAAAGTGTTTTGAGATGCACAGACAAAAAAGGTCAGGGAAGAGGAGGGTAGGATGGCTTGCCTTGCTTGCACAGCTCTGAGGGGGGCAGCTGCACGAACAGAGAGTGAAAGCATCCACAGTGAAGGCTCAGACTTACATAATGGGGACTTCTAATGCAAAGCAGTGCTGTTCAACTGCCTAAAAGTAGCAGTTAAAAAAGAGAACTGATGTAAATCTAAAGCTATTTCCAGCCTGCTGCAGTGTGGGCATCACGTTTCCCTAAAACAACCCCCAGCCACCAAACACAGGCATCCTCCAAAGCGAATGGGGCGAGCAGCATCCCTGCTGAGGACTACAGCTCCCAGGAGCCTGCAGCCCAGGCAGCGCCTGTGCGGGGACCAGGCGCTGGGCAGCCAGGCAGCGGTACGGGCAGGGAGGCAGCGCTGGCTGGGGATCCCCCACTCATGCCTGAGAGGTTTCAGGGCTGCTGTTTCCTACCCCCAAGCCCCTTCTCTCCCTGACCCAGCTCCTCTTTCTCTGTCTCTCCTCCCCCGGTAGTTTTTACATCACTGACACAGACTTCCTGTGAGTCAGCACCAGCAGACATGAACGAAGTAGCTGGAAGAAGGAGAGCTCAAAGTGGGCAAGAAATAAGAAAATTTGGCCAATGACACTTGGACGCTTCCATACCCGCGTGCTGCTGAGGGAGATGGGAGACAGGTCAGTAAACGGCTGAGCTGGGATGTCTGGGGCCAGAACGGGATGTTCAGGGCTGAACCCCTCTGTGGTGTCTGCATGTGTCCCACACCGTCCCAGGCAGCAGCAGGACATCTCTGGAAGTTGGGGTCGCTGCTGCAAAGCTGGAGTGTTTGTCAAGGTTGGCTGCGGTGGAGCGAACTGCCCCGGCTGGGATAAATCTCCTTGCTTGTCCTTCTCAGGCTGAATCCTGCCTGAGAGATCTGCCTTGCTCCCCTGGCTGGAGGCGACCGATGGAGCCAGAGGTCCTGCTCGGCATAGGAGCAGGCGGCTTGGCTAAATGCAGGGAGCAGGAACAGCAGCACAACGCGGGAAGGGGCATCTGTCCTTTAACATCTGCCTAAAAAACAATGCTTCTGGGGCATCTGTGCGACAAATGCTTTCAGGAGTGATGGAGGCATGGGTGGGAATGGGTTAATAAGTCCAGCCTCTGCCTTGCAAGGAGGAGCTGTGCCTGCCTGTGCCCCTGTGTTTCTCTGTGTGTGTGTGTGCGCTGGGGTGTGTGTGTGTGTGCTGGTGTGTGTGTGTGTGTGTGCTGGTGTGGGGGGTTATCCCCAGTGAAAGGAGCAGAGCAGCAGCTGAGGAGCTGTTCCCGTTCGTTCATGTGTTTCACAAGTGAAATTCAGGCAGCTGTGCTGACACGCAGCCACCTCTGGGAAAAACAGCCCAGCACATGAAATAGCCAGAGAGAAAAGTTTGCCCAGACTCATCTCTGGGCCACAGAGAGTAAAAGCAAACTCCATTTCTCAGCCTAACTGAAAGGTCTCCAGAGAACATGTGACCCAACACCCTTCCTTTCTCTTGGTGAGAAGGGAGCAGAGGAGCTGCAAATTCCCTGGATGTCTGCTGGGGTCAGGGCTCCCTTTGCCCAGCTGAGAAGTTGGGCAGGGGCTTCTCAGGGTGCCTCATCACTTTGGGGCACTTGGGAATCAAGGAGCAGGGGAGGACAGAATTTTGGCTGGCTGGACCACCATCAGGGACCCCCTCCCCAGGAGCTGCCCCAGATAAGTTTGGTGCTGGTTCTCCCATGATGAAAGCTTATGGCAAATGGGGTTCTTCTTCAGCCCGGACTTTTCATGCAGTTGGGTCAATAATGCTGGTGGTGTTGTGGCTGCACCCTTCATGAGTCAGGCATGACAACCCGGAAATTGAAGCTGACACCAAGGCAAAGATGGACTTTTGGAAGTCCAACCACAGAGAAAGGGGACAGAAGAAGGAGTTTACCCCTTGCTGTCCCCCTGGACACCAGGAGGACCTCTCTGTCCATTCAAATATTTTCCTGGCCACCAGCCCCAGCAGCCTTGCATGGGCTCTGGTGTCTGCCCTGTGCTGCACGGGGAACTGAGGACATCAGTGTGAGTTCCACTTCTGCCTCCAGCCTGTCTGGCTGAAGCAGTGACCCAGATGTCCCTGTCCCCTCACTGCACTGGATGTGACACAAAATCTCTAGAGAAATAAATGTGGCACCTCCCAATAAATGGGAGCCCCACGGGATTCACACAGCCAGATGAGCCTCAGACAAAGCTCCGGCAGTTCTGTTTCACAGATGTGAGATTTGGGTGCTGTCTGGAGGCCAGGGAGCGCAACCTGGTATGTCCCAGAGACAAGCAGCTGTTTGCTCATCCTCAACATGTCCCCCTATGGTCCCAGAAGGTCCCTCTCTGCCAGTGCACTGAGGGTGATCTCAATGACCACTCTTCACATGGGACGTGTCTGGTCCTGGCTGTGGCCCCAGCCCCTGGTCTGGTCATCCTGGCTCAGAGCAGGGATTGCACCACCCAGAAATGGATCTGAGTGTGGCCTTCACCAAAGGAGATTTACTTCTAGAGGTGCTGATGACCGTGAGTTGGTCCGTGATGGCCTTTACCACCCCTCTGAAGGAAAAGTCGTGTTGGTTCCTGCTCAGAAATCAGCACAGCAGGAGGAGACCCCCAAACCACAAGTTTCTTGTCATGAGTGCTGGAGATATGGAGGAATTCCAGCCTGAGCCAGGCAGTTCCAGCAACCCCCTTCAATCCCCTCCTAGATTTTACAGTCTCTTGGCCTTTGGTTTTATTAGAATTAACTAAGCTTGGCTGGGCTTTTATTTATGATGTTCTTTTCCACATGACAGCTTACCACACTAAAAGTGGTTTGTTTAGGTTTGGGTTTTTTTTCCTTTTCACCTTGACAATAACACCTGTCTTGGTTTCTTCTCAGGTTCAGCCCTTGTGAAGGAAAACATAGGCTTTCATCTAAAGAAGAGTAATTCAAACCAGAGCTGGCACTTTCCCATGGTCGCTACCTCCCAGCAGCCCTGGCAGGCAGGGAAAACTGGTGGCAATGGTTGGGAGGAGTCCCAGCAATGCCTTTCCTAGTGAACACCACCCAGGGTCCCACCTCTGAAGAACCAGGTGATGGAACAGCCAGCCATGATGACACTGGAGCTCTTGGAGGTAGAGAATTTTGTCAGCCACACTCGGGAGAAGTCGTACACTTGCACGATTTGTGGGGACAGTTTTAAGTACAAGGGCATCCTGGCGGCCCACCAGAAATCCCATAAGGAGGAGGTAGAGGCTGAAGGCTGTGAGAAGGAGGATGATGCTGGCCAGGCTGGAGAGCTGTATGACCAAGAAACCATCAGAGCTGCAGGGAAGGCCAATGGGGAAGGCCATAGCAAGCACAGTACACAGAGTGATCCTGAGAGAAGGGAGAAGTGCCATGCCTGCACTGAGTGCAGGAAAAGCTTCAGGGTGAAGGTGGACCTCACCAAGCATCTCCGGACTCACACAGGTGAGAGACCATTTCCCTGCACCAACTGCAGCAAGAGGTTCATCACCAAATCACAACTCAAGGAGCACCAGAGGATCCACACAGGTGAGCGGCCGTACAAGTGTCTGGACTGTGGGAAAAACTTCACCCAGAAGTCACAGCTCATTGTGCACCACCGCATCCACACGGGTAAGAAGCCCTACCAGTGCAGCAGCTGCAAGAAGTGCTTTGTGAACAAGTCACACCTGGTGGCCCACCACCGGATCCACACGGGTGACCGTCCCTTCAAGTGCGGGGTGTGTGGCCGTGGCTTCCACCAGAAGATCACTCTCATCAAGCACCAGCAGGTCCACAGTGCCAAGGGTGCCCAGCAGGATGCCGCCAGGGCCATCATGGCCAAATCCACTCCAGCAGGGGAGAAGATCTTCCACTGCAGCACCTGTGGGAAGGAGTTCAAGAAGAAGTCAGTGCTGGTGACCCACCAGAGGATTCACACAGAGGAGAAGCCCTACCCCTGCCCCACATGTGGACGGTGCTTCCGGCAGAAGATCCACCTCGCCCGGCATCAGCAGACCCATGAGCTGCCCGATGCCCTCATCTGCAGAGCCTGTGGGGACCATTTTGGCAGCAAGAGGGAGATGCTGTGGCACCACCAGGGCCACCATGCCCAGAAGGCCCCCCACACCTGCACCACCTGTGGAAAGAGCTTCAGCCAGAAGGTCGGCCTCACGGCCCACCGCCGTGTCCATGTGCGGGAGGAGACCTCCAGTGCTGCAGAGGGTGGGCAGTCCACCACCACCCTCGGTGGTATCCATGCATGTGGGCAGTGTGGGAAGGTGTTCACCAAGAAGGGCAACCTGGCCAACCATCAGCGGGCTCATGCCGAGGGCCAGGGTCACCACTGTGGGGCTTGTGGCAAGGACTTTGCCAAACGGGGGGAGCTGACCAAGCATGAGCGGACCCACACTGGGGAGAAGCCCTATGGGTGCAGGCAGTGCGGCAAGTGCTTCACCCAGCGCACCCAGCTGGTCACCCACCAACGTGTCCACACTGGTGAGCGGCCCTATCCCTGCGGTGACTGTGGCAAGCGCTTTGGTGACAAGTCACGCCTCACCGTCCACCAGCGCATCCACACCGGTGACCGGCCATTCCCTTGCCCTACCTGCGGCAAGGGCTTCCGCCAGAAGATCGCCTTGGTCAAGCACTGCCGCATCCATGAGCGTGGCAGGGACAAGGGAGGGGGCGAAGACATCAGTGCCAACAACAATGTCAACGCTGACACCGATGTCAAAGGCAAGGCGAATGCCAATGCCAACGCTAATGCTAATGCCAATGCCAATGCCAAAACCAATGCTACTGTCCAGACCAACACCAATGCTAATGTCAATGCCAACACCAAAGTGGCTGGCAAAGATGAGGAGAGTCTGGCGGTCCCCTGTCAGCAGCTGCCCATTGGCAAGCGGCCCTTTTCCTGCAGCGAGTGTGGGAAGGGCTTTGCCCAGAAGGCCCAGCTGGCAGTCCACCACCGCATCCACACTGGGGAGCGCCCCTTCTCCTGTGCTGACTGCCCCAAAGCCTTCATCGACAAGTCCCGTCTCATCGTCCACCGCCGCACCCACACTGGCGAGCGCCCCTTCCCCTGCACTGTCTGTGGACGAGCTTTCACCCAGAAGGTCGCCCTCACCACCCACCAGCGGGTCCACATACGGGAGCACCAGCCACCGCAAGCCCCAGTTCCCCTTGGACCCCAAGGTGAGAAGTGGCCCTTCCCCTGTGCTGTCTGTGGGAGAGGTTTCCTCAAGGAGATTGCCCTCATCACCCACCAGCGAGTCCACACCAAGTATGAGCCTAACCGCTGCAGCAAGTGTGGACAGGTCTTCCCTGACAGGACCCAACTCCGGCTCCACCAGCCCTCCCATGCTGAGGACCGGCCATTCAAGTGTGCCACATGTGGGAAGGACTTCAAGAGGAAGGAGATCTTAATTACCCACCAACGGGTCCACACAGGAGAGGCACCTTTCCAGTGCCCTCAGTGCAGCAAAAGCTTCTCACAGAAGGCCAACCTCATGAAGCACCAGCTCACTCACACCCGCCGGGGCCCATTTATCTGCTCAGACTGTGGGCAAAGCTACACCACCATTGGACATTTCAAGAGGCACCAGAGGAGCCACCTCAAAAAGCAAAGCCCTCCTGGTGAGGTAGAGGAGCCCCCTGAGGACCTGGCGACCAGCCATGTGCCACCAGAGCCAGTGGGTGGCCACAGCAGCCCCATCATTGTGGTGAAGACAGAGGCTGATGCTGATGACTATGAGGTCCTACAGATCCCATGATGGCAAGGATCAAGCACTCAGGGAGGGAAGGGCTGATGCCTGCTCACTTGGGATGGGGATCCTGTGTCTGCCACCAAGGTCCACGGTCCCCTGGGAGCATCTCACAATATTTGGTGGGAGACAGGAGGAAACCTGGGAGGATCTGGACTTCAGCACACAGCAATCCCCGAGTCAAACCTCAGTCTAAATTGGCTGACACAATGTGAAATTTGAGGGCAGGAGAGGGATATAAATACATATTTGGGGAGGTGGGTTGTTTATATCTTTTATATGAGTCCTCATTTCAAGAGGGTTTTTTTTGTTTTGCTGACAGGAGGGCTGAGAAGCTCATTTTTTTTTAAAGCAAGTAAATGAAATCTGTGATTTCGGATATATTCACATGACACCAAGAGCTGGAGCTCTAAACAAAACAAAAAAAAAAGTCCAAAAATCTCACCAAACATTATGAGGCTTACCATCACCAACTTCCTGGCAGGAGCCAGAGCAGACCATCATTGGTCCCTAGCCTTCCAGCAGCTGACACCAGCATCGGCCATCCTGCAGACATGTGGAGCAGTGCAGGATCTGCTACTGTGGAAAAATTGCAGCCAGAAATAAGGGAAGATGTCATGGCCAAGGGACTTGGGGATGGGGACCCCACTGGCACCTGGGGAAGGGCCACTGGGGTCAGTAACACTCCTCGTGGAGGACAAACACCCACCCACACAGCTTAGTTTGCAGATCCAAAGTGAGAGCCCTGGCTGGGAACTAACGCAGGGTTTATATGAAGACATCATTTTTCCTAGTTTAAAATAACCTCACGCATGGGTTGATTGTGCAGGATAATCCCTGGGCATATTTATTATGGAGTTAGGGCATTCGTTGCACAGCCACAGTTTCAGAGCAGCATTTGCGAGGTTGGCAGACTGGTTTCTTGCACCACGTGCTCAGTTGCAACACCAAGATGTGGCTCCTAAAACTGAAGAGCACTGGTCTGTGCCACGTACAGCTGCACTGAGGTAGGGAGAAACCCTCTACAACTGTCCTGTGTGTCACACATTTGCAGTTGTGACCAGAGTATGGCACCAGCAAAAGGCGTGTTTAGTTGCTCTGCCAAGAAAAGGAGGCGTTGGGTTGCTCCCAGCATCCCACCGACCCAGGAGGAGTTGGGGGTCAGCAGAGGCTGTGCCCACCACTGGTGTGGATGAATCTCACCACATCTGGTGTGGACTCTGGCCCTTTGGGCTGCACTGTCCCATAGGACCCCTCTGACCCAGCTTAGTGACGCGGAGGCCACCTCCAAGGTGTACCTCGGAGGCCACCTGGCCAAGCCAACTTGCAGTTCAGAGTGATTTTGGGGGAGAAGGAAGGGCTTTGCTGGACAATCAAAGTGCCACTTCAGACTTGCTGGGGGTGGGGGTTCAGTTGCTTTTGCACCCTGGACATTACTGCCAGAGCTCGCTTCCGCACCAGCAAGAAGGGGGTTCGCCACCCCCTCCCCAACGCCGGGTGCTCCCTGTACCCAGAGCAGCACCCTCCACCCTCCCGCTCCCTCCTCAAAAGCCAGGTTTTGCCTTCGAGGTTGCATGAAGGCAGCAAGGCACACCACCATGCCCATGCAATGCTAACTTTCGGTAGCTGCACGTGCCTTTGGAGCTCAAGCAGCCCCCCCATTAGAATTACCCGGTGTGAAATGATCCCATTCCCCCCCGTGCTTACAGCAGCTCTCACCGCTGCTGGATTCGGCGTGTGCCCTGCGCTCCATCCCCCAGCACAAGCCCTGCTGCTCTGCCTCCCGTCCATTAAATTAATATCCTGCCATTAACGACGGTAGAGAGCTCCGATGCCACGAAGCGATAGCAGGAGCTGAAGGAAGGATCAATGGTACTAATAGCTTGCAAAAACTGGGCCAGTTTGACTTCAAACCCTGCATAGTCACCAGACTAGCCAAACGGATAGTTACATAAAATTAAGGATCGTTTTCATTTTATTCTTTTTTTCCTCTCAGTAGATTGATTTGATTTTGAAGATTTCCTTCAGCATTTCTGTTGTTTTAATCGGCTTTTATTTCCTCCATTTGTTTCGCCGGCGGCAAATTCATCAACTCTAAATAGGTAGACTGATAACAGACCATGATAACAGTATGCTAAACTATTACATGAAAAGCGGGGAATTAAATCACTCACGGGAAAACAGGCCACGCTGGAAGACTGCTGCTTCCTGAAAGCTTTGTATCCTTTTAAGCTTGCTTTTTTTGTGCAAGATGTTCTTGCTCCAGTAATTTTTGCACTGCTCTGCCCTATTTCTGCAAGCTAAAGGGACAGCGAGCGGGCGCGTAGGCTCAGCCCTCGCTGACTGGTTGCCCCCACCTTGTCCCTTACTTGGGTGTTTTCTCTCAGGAATTAAATGGCAGGGAGGAATAAATTATCCAGCCCCCCCTTTTCTAACCAATCCTGATTTCTTTAACTCACATTATGTCTTGCTAATAATCCCGCTGCACGTAAACAAACTCGAGCTGGGGATGATCAGAAAGCGGCTACGTATGTCGCATGGAAAACTTCTGCCCTGATTAGGTGACTGCTTTTCCAAACAGGGGGATTATGAGTGATGAGTAACAGACCATGTTACTTGGAGCACGGATACAAGGAGAAAAGGCTTTGCCTAAGCAATTTTCAAAAAAGACCCGGGAGGACAAATAGTAGAGCATGAGCATGGCCCAGTTGGAGCCTCCTTTGGGGAACAGGAGCAGCTCTGTGTTTAGGAGCTGTGGGTGGGAAGTTTTCCATTGGCTTTCTAGGAAAGTTTGACTGCCATGGGGTGAATGAAGAGGAATTCTTAGTCTAACAAAGTCTCTCGCTTGCAAATCTTCCCAATGTCAAGTAAGAAAATAAAACAAATTGGGAATATATCTATTTTTCCCTAACTCAGTGGTCCACCATGCTCTGGGCCTGGCTTCCTCACCTGAATTCATGTCTCTACAGCACAGATGCAGACATCTGAGCCAGTCATAAAATTAAAGGAGAGAAAGAAGGAGATGGAGAAAGTGATTTTTCTGCCCTATTTAGATGTCCATTTTGGGATGAGACTCCAGGACTTCATTGACTCTACTGGCTACATCCCCACGGGCTGCAAAGGGGAGCTGGGCTCGGAGGGAGAGGTCCCCACCGGTTCATGGTGGGTTTAGCCCACGGCAGCCAATCTATTTGGGAAAAGAGCAGGGGCTGTAGGGACACAGGCTGCACCAGTCAGCAGTTATTAGACATAATTGGCGCACAGTCAGCGCTGCAGATGCCTCTGATGCAAGAACATCCCAGCCGTTAACAATTTGTTTGCTGTGCTGCACCATGCAGGTGAAGTTCAACCTGCAAACAGTCCTGGCTGCGTGTGGCTTCCCAAGGGAGTGAGCTGGTGCAGACAGGGGTGTGGAAAGGCCAGTATAATCCACACAGAGGGAGATGATTATTTCCCAGGTATATTTTTTATTACTTTGCTTTTATTTATTGGAAGGCAGAAGGGAGCCGTGCAGGAGATGGAGGAACTAGCAGGAGTTGTGGACACCCACTGAAATATTAACATGAGCTGATGTTAATTGCTATTCTTCCCAATGCTTTCTTTAAAAAGAAAAATAAATTACACTTTGCAATTGTCTTTCTTTTTAATATCATGCACCAGAATACTTTTGAAGCATAGGATCCTCCAGCTATGGGATTCATCTCTTTCCCCTAGATTTTTTCTGTATTTCCCCTGATTTGCAGATGGTTTGCCTCTGCTGTACTGAACAAAGCTGTGCTTCAGTGTTCTTGAATTCAAGTCATCCTGAATGCGGTGGAGGTGGGGAGGTGAGAACTTGGGACAGAAGCACCCACCTGGGACCAGGACACCAGCATCTTCATCTCAGTTCAATCCTTCAGTCCACAATCCCTGCCAGTCTGAACGGGGGACTGCGTGAGCCTGAGGTTTTGCTATAGGAATCACTGAGAAGGGATTTAACTTTTCAATTCTCCACAAACATTAGGAAAAGCACATGAAAGGTCCTCACTCATCTTGATATAAATCAGTCTGCAAAAATCAATTATTAACAGAGGCAAAATATGGGTGAAAACTGTGACTAATGAGAAACCTTGTCTCCAAGCGCCTGGTGCGTCCTGCTTGTCTCCTCCTGAGATGTTCCTGTTTGCTGGTGATCACAGCTTTTCAATCACCTCATCAACGGGGACTGAGCAGCAGGACAGGCAACAAGAGTGAGGTCTTTTGTTTGTGTTCACACCGTGCACCATGAGCATTCACACCTTGCATCACGAGCATCCTAAAGCCAGACTTCTCTGTGCCAGCCCAGTGCTGTGCTTCCTGGGGCACAAGAAGACCCTTTCTTAAGAAGTGGGACGTAGACATGGTAGAAAAGACACAAAACACTTTTATTTAACAAATCCTCTGCTTGTGCACTCAGCTGAGCTGCTGGTCCCCAGGCGCTCCTGTTCCCTTCCCATGCTTTGCCCCAGACCTTAATTTTGCTTTGTGGTTTGTGATGTCGCCTGGGCTGCACATTTGGAGACCTCTCGGAGCCAGACGTGTGTCACAGGCCATTCGGTAACACAACCAGATGTTTTTTCCCAGTGTCCCTTAGCTATTTTCCGAGCAACTCTCACTGACCAGGTGAATTGCCGGATCCTCCAACCTCCATCGATCCCCACTTCTGTTTGCAGCAAACAGCCGGTCGAGAGAGCAGACTTGCTCCTTCCCTTCTGCAAAAGGACAGTTGTTATTCAGAACAAAATATTATGTTGCCGTGTTATTTAATCAAGTCAAGATTCATAGGCAGCATCTGCGTGGAAGATAAAATGTTTCGGGACAGTTTAGTCCTTTTCTTATCATCTGAGTGATTACGATTATGTAAAGACTTTTCATTCAAACACGGAGATGGAGTTTCATAAGCGCGGGACCAAAATAGTGCCAAGTAGCCAACCATCTCCCCTTGATCACACTGGATTAGTACAATTAATCTGTAGGTATTAGTGACAAGC